AAAGTTTATCTGGGCGGAAACTACATTTTTACCTCAGACCTCACATGCGTTTTCTTCGTGTCAGTTGCCGCGAGTTCAAAAATGACCATGCGAAAGACGAGAAGGTGTGGGATTATTCTGAATTAGAAGGAAACTGAAAAGTTTTGTGTAAACTGTGTGATGTCAAATTGTCTTACAATAACTCTACTGGAGCGATGCGTAATCATATTCAATACAGGCACGTAGGCGTTAGCTTAGAGGCTGGCCGAAGCCAGCAAATGTCAATCATGTCATTCACTACAACCCGCAGCAGCGGCGATCCCGTCCGCACCGTCTGTTCCTCTAACGAACACCCACTTCGGTGGTGGTGCGGGATGTCCAAGCGCTTTCTGAAACTCTATCGGCTTGCTTTTCGTTATCTCTGCGTGCCTGCGACTTCAGTTCCTGCCGAGCGCGTTTTTTCAAGTGCAGGAATTTGATTGTTAATCGCCTCAGGTCCCGTCTTTCACCAGACCACGTGGATAATTTCACTGAACAAATAACGCATGGTCCAAGTAAAATGGGCATTGTTGCATTGCTTTGTTTTTAGACAATATACCTACACAAAGTATGTTTTTAAAAGCCGTTTTAATATTAAGAATTCTGTCAGGCTATTGATTGATTTTCCATTGTTCTGCATTTCCCAGCTGATTTGAATAAATAAGCTATGCTTTGACCGACATTGAGTGTATGCTCTTCTTTTTTTTTCTTTTTAACGACCGATCATTGAGGGATTTGACGGTGTGATTCATAGATTAAGTATTTCAAATATAGGCTATGCTACACGCACAGAGTTTTTTTTATTTCTTACCATCTTTTTTTTTTTTTTTGCTTTTAGACTAGTCGGATACAAAACTTTAGTTTAAACGACAGTCATATTAGTCGTCGCGCACATCCCTACGATATAGACCAAAACCACTTTTTGTACCAGACTGTAAACATTTTATTCTGCTGTAAAATTGGGCATTTTAACATGGGAGGTCTATGGGATTGACTCCCTTTTGGAGCCAGCCTCTAGCGGCCAGTCGATGAATTGCAGTTTTAGTCACTTCCGTCTTGGTTTCAAGAGAGAGAGCGGGAGGTTGCCGCTTGCTTAAAACACACAAAACGAAACACACCCGTCGCCACCTACAGACATAACCCCGCAAGCGCGGAAAAAGTGAATGAACGAATCGGCTGAACAAATCTTTTGGAGTCACAAGATTCGAGTCACCGGGATGAATCACAATCGTCTAATGACGCTGGGCGCGAGCCAGAATGACACGTGCTCACATTTCATAAGAAGCTCACGCGCCCTGATCTCTTAACTAAAATGTAACATTTGAACCTCACTGGTCGCACAAATTCTAAGGTTTATTACTTAACTTATAATAGAATTAAAAGCATATAGTGAAAATGTCAATGATCACATAAATGCACACAATTAATAAGGCAATAAAGTGTAATAAATACATACTTCATAACTGTACAATAATAATAAAGCACACAGACTGCAAAAAAAAAAAGTTTCAACAGACGTCCCTATATATTTAATATCTACGGTTTCTTCAAGCAAAAGAAATGGTCTTTATGGTCACCAACATGAAAATGGAACAAAGAGAAATTTCTCGACAAATTTGTGCGTTAAATTAATGTAAGCACTGGTAAAAGCAGCTTAGCATTACTTTCCAGCTGTGCTTCTTTCAGGGAGGATTTCCTACACACCAGCGCTGAACACCCCGCATGCGAAAGTGTGCTAACGGCTAGCATTCACTCTAAAAACCTGCAAACTCGATTTTGAGATCAGCAATAACGAGGCAACAAAGAATATAACTGAAGCACTCGAACGCTTACCTGAGATGTTTAGTATATATCCTAAGGTGCTCTATCCAGCAGTGACGGGAGCGCTGCGGGCTGTAGCTTAGCTTCGCTGGAGAGGAACTGTGATGGGTTGCCAAATATGATGCGTTTCACGAGAGAACCGACGTCACAACCCACCGCGCGCGAGGAAGCACGTTGCGTCGTGATAATCCTATGTAGCGTCAAAAGAATTGGTATCGCATCTGAGATATTCAGTGTATATTCGCCAGTGAGAGTTTGACGGGTTCTGGAAAGAGATCACAGTGTATGTGGACTATTTAAAAATCATCCCGGGTTATAGATTCTTCCTCAGAGTAGGATTTTGTCCATAATCCCTCAAGGGACAATGGTGCCTCTCAAATGTTACTGTAAAACCCAACAGCATTAAGAAGAATGTGGTAGTGGCGTATGTCAGTCCTTAAAATGTGTTGTAAGGAATAGATAAAAAAAAAGTTTAGGCTATGGCTAAAAGTGTGTGACCTGTGCTGGATAACCTGCATGAAATGGGGGCAGTTTACATTTGCAGACTGCAACTGATGGTTCTCAATATTTGCTAACGGCATGGCGCTTCCCTAAATATGAGCAAAATAATCCCGATTTATCCATTACATAGCCTGCAATTTTCTTGTCAATCTGAACCATTTTCAAGTCACTTAACACAACATGAATCAGCTTCCAGCGTAACTCTATTACAGGCTTTCACTGAAATGTAGCCTATATTTCTTTTTAAGCTTTTAGACGCCCCCCCCCCCTCCCTATTTTTACTGTTAAATACTGGTACAGAGGTTGTTAAAACCAAAGCTATGCTGGAAATCCACATAAAACAAAGAATTTCAGGGTTTTCTGGCTTCTCTTAACTGCTGTACTGTGGTTTACAATGGTTTCCAGGCAACAGGGCTCAAGGGACTCCTGTTGGATATAACAGAACAAAAGAATATTATATTTTACTAGAACTGTTGTGCTGGACTAAATTTGCATGGAACAATTGACAGTTGGGTTCAAACCAGTGGCGAGGCTAAGGGCCAGGTTGGCACTGGCCCACTCAGATTGACGGCTGGTCTACCCAATATAGGCCTATTTATATAGTCTGCGATAATATCATTGTTGTTTAAACTATGTGCGATTTGACGTTATCGAGTATATCACAAAAACATAACAAAACACATCTACAGAGCGCACGCATACATTACGTGATTTAGTCTACTGTAACGTTAACTATTGGGTTCAAACCAGTGGCGAGGCTAAGGGCCAGGTTGGCACTGGCCCACTCAGATTGACGGCTGGTCCACCCAATATAGGCCTATTTATATAGTCTGCGATAATATCATTGTTGTTTAAACTATGTGCGATTTGACGTTATCGAGTATATCACAAAAACATAACAAAACACATCTACAGAGCGCACGCATACATTACGTGATTTAGTCTACTGTAACGTTAACTAGGTTAATGCGCGCACGCGTTCTTTCACTGCATGATTCAGTCTATTAAAGTGCATTAAGAATAATAACCAAATTTAAGATATGGGGGCAGAACATTTATATATTTATATCATTTCATATAGTTAATCAATATCCCACGAAGAGTGCCGTTTCTTCCCCCAAAATCAGCATGATTACAAATGTGATATTGATTTTTACAACAGTTCAATAAACAATAATTAAGAGACTTACGTTTTAGACAGCATATTGCCTGTTTTTGCTCTATTTCGCCAACAAAAATAATTCCAAATTCCAAACACAGCCACAGCACTGTTTTGCGTCTCTGAGCAAAACGATGGTGTTTCGTTCCTGAATGAATCAACCGTTTAAATGATTTGGTTCAATCGCAATGACTCACTTATTGATAGTGACTTTCTGCCACCTACTTTTGATTTCACATTTAAAGTACCTTTTCTTTTTTAAATAATTTCAAACATCAGTTTTCAACGTTTTGTGTTTAAAATATAAAAATATTTAATATTTAACTGCAGGTGAAAGCCTATTCCATGTCCCTCAGAGCTGCATTAAACAGTGTGTAAATACATCTAAATGCCACTTTAGATGCAGCTTCTGTGTTTCCTCTGCATTGTAAAGATGGATTTTGTCAATACTGATTTAATTTGCTTGGTAACAGCCAAAATGTCTTATTATTCTAATTGACTGATTAAATGTAAAAATTTGACTCAAAAGGTGATGCACACTTTTCTAGAAAAAAAGGCCCATAAAAGGTAAAAATCAATTTAAACTTATTGAAAAAGATAAATTTCTATCACTGCTGTGAACTGATCACCACACAGAATGAAGAATATCAAAAACTTTAGAAGTCAGCTGTCCAGGGTGGTCCTTAAGATACCAGCACAAAAACACACTCAGGAAAATATGGTCTAATTATCGTTATTGATAAAATACCAGAAAATATCGAGATATAATTTTTTTGTCAATATAGCACACCCCTAGTAAAGAATAAGTAATAAGACCCCAGTGGATCAGTGTTGATCTTCCAGTTGTGTGCTTCTATTCTATGGCAAATGGTAAATGCAAGGACTGTCAATCTACTATGTTTCGTGAAGCTACAAAACAAAACGCAGCCCAAAAGTCGCATGTATAGCCAATACTGTTCACATGTATTTATGGGGTGCTGTGTGTACATTAATGAGGAAAAAAATTAACTTAAATGATTTTAGCAAATGGCTGCAATATAACAAAGAGTGAAAAATTTAAGGGGGTCTGAATACTCTGATATATAACATCCCATTTTCAAGTAAAGTCATATTTTTATTTTTAATTTATAGGCATATATTTTCAGCTCATATTTTTGAGGCACTGAGGTCCACCCTATTTCACAGGTCCACTCACTTGAAAATGTCTGGCCTCGCCACTGGTTCAAACAGCATATGAATGTATATCTTTCTCTCTCCCTCAGATTCTGTTTGTGGTGATTTGTGGCCTTGATTGAATAGACTGAACTTGCCAAGTCAATTTGTCTAAGATTCTTTTTGCAAGAAGAATTACTTCAGCCTTCAGCTTTTGTTCTCTGCAGACAAAAGCACAAATGTGTTGACAATTTTATGACAGGATATCCATCCTTGTTTGGTTTGGTGTCGCCAGTGGTGAGCTTCATACCATCATAGCTACAATTGTCTTTTGTATCAAGAAGAGCTTCCCTACTGTTTACTAGACCTCTGGTTTGTGTAAATTCTCTGACACAGGCAAGGCAGAGTGAATTGGCATGGTTGTTTTTTCAAACGCATCTAGTACATGAATTCACAAATCTTTCGAATGTCTAAAATGTGTGAAATCAAACTAGATAATAGACTTTAGTTTAACTGGTAGAGAATGGCAAGTTTAATAGGAATCTGCAAAATACACACATTAAACAAAAAGATTAAACAGAATACAACAAATAATGTCAATTTCCTTTCATAAATGTTTGGAATTGGTGAAATCCTCTTCAAAGATTTGAATTATGAGAGAAAGAATCTACTTAAACTCCCACTTAAATGAATGAATTAATTGCCTATAGTATCTTCATTCATCATTATTAATTGTATATTTGTTACATATTGAATGTGAGTGCACAATATTAGGTGAGAAAGAATCTACTTAAACTCCCACTTAAATGAATGAATTAATTGCCTATAGTATCTTCATTCTGTTTAATTATTAATTGTATATTTGTTACATATTGAATGTGAGTGCACAATATTAGGCGTAAAGTCTGAGAGTGCTAAAAATCCAACAGCTTCCAATAAACCTTTAGATTAAAAGGTCATTCTGGTCCTTGAGGGAAACATCATTGTCAATGGAGGAGCTTTTCTCCTTCAGCTGAATCACTAGTGGCTGTAAAATCTTTTTTCTGCTGATGCTCCTTGTAACCTACAGAAAAATGAGACAAACACATGCACAAAATATTTAAGTATTCTATTGTCAAATTGGATCCTTAATGTCAGTAGACTGAAAAACTATCACATAGAAAAGGTATAACATTTACAGTTAATTTATATAACATGCTAGATGCTTACCATGCAATCTTCTGTTCAACATGCCCTTTTCCTGTGTGAAGTTAATGAGTAACCACAGTACCCCATTTGTCAAAAAGACCACCCCTCCATCCCTTCTATAAATACCCTGATCTCAGTCTTTAACAGCAGAGGACACATCATGTCTGAATTATCCTACAGGACCTTTGTTGGTTTTCTCATCTTGTTGGGTTGTCTTGGAATGACCTTTGCTGTTCATGCTAGTGGTAAGAAAATTTTTAATTCATTTGTACATGAACAAGTCACAGATTAGTGACAAAGTTTTGTCCTGCCATACCCAGATGCAAAATGTGGATCTACTAAGGCAAGAGGTATCCTTGACCGTTCTTTGAGGGTTATTGGAGGATCAGAGGCCAGGCGAGGTTCCCATCCGTGGTTGGCACGTAACTTTTCAACCTTACAAATTGCATGATAAACTAATGCAATACTACAGTTTTTACATTCTAAAAGGCATTGAAGTATATGTCAGTATGAAAAATTCATTCAATTATCATCTACAGGTGTCTCTTAGGATCAGAGGATCGCATTTCTGTGCTGCAGCGATCTTGACAGACCACTGGCTTTTGACTGCTGCTCATTGCTTTGCAAGTGTATCCAAGTAGGTCCACTCAATTTAAACATGACTAATCCTAACTTTTGACTCGGTCAATGCTTCAGTGACTTTCTCTCAAATATAACTGCCTGCCTTAGGGACTTCCTGCACAAAATTGAGGCTGTAGCAGGTAATTTCAACCAAAGAAAAGTTGATAGAGGGGAGCAGAACTTCCAGGTAAAGACTGTAAAGTTCCAAGAAAAATATCAACACTCCTCTCCCATGAGCTACGACATCGCTTTGCTTGAGATCAAAGGACGCATTCACTTTGGCAAGTCATTCTGTGAGATTACCACAACTTATGTATTTATAGTTTTAGAATTATTTTTTAGAGATAAACATAATATGTGTTTTCTAGGTGATTTTATTAAGCCTGTTTGCCTGCCTTACCCTGGTGAGAGGTTTCCACCCAAGACCATGTGTGTTGTTGGTGGATGGGGTCGTATTACTGAGAGTGAGAAGTCATTTGAACAACACTGAAATAATTAATACTTGAGAGAAAGATCTAAAATTTCTCAAACCATTACTAGGATAAAGGTGAAGAGGTCTGTCTTTTCTTTAGAAGGGCCACTTTCTTCGGTTCTTCAGGAGGTGCAACTGAACCTGTTAGAGCAAAGCAAGTGCAGACATGTCCTACAAACACTAAGATCTGGACAGAAGACCTTCACAGTCCTGTGTGCTGGCCCAGACAGTGGAGGGAGAGATGCCTGCCAAGTAAGTTGACACTAAACATGTTCCCCCAACATTAACTCTGAATTACATTATTAACATCCCGGAAATTACTAACACCTATGAGACTGGTTCAGGTTGGCAAAGATGGCTTTGAGTTCCTCTCTGTCCTCATGTGCTCCAGGGGGATTCTGGGGGTCCCCTCCTCTGCCCCAGAGCAGATGGACGCTGGGTGGCTGTGGGAGTCACATCATGGGGAAAGGGTTGTGGTCGAAGCTGGAATAACAACAAGATCAAACCCTCATCCAGAAGAGGCTCACCTGGAGTATTCACTGATGTCTTAATGTTCCTGTCATGGATCAAGTCTAATCTTAGAAAAGGTGGGTAGGGTACTGTTGTCGAGTTAGAGCTTCTTACCTGCTTTCAATCTCGTAGGACTGGTAGTGGTTAATAATCGGGTTTAGTAACTGCACTGCACTTGAACAAGACACTTAACCCCAAGTTTCTGTAAGACACTGCAAGTCAATTTAAATAATGACTACTTGCCTATAGAACTCAACATAGGTGCAGACAGGTCTCTGTGCGGTGTACCTGATGGAGTTGTACCTGGAAGTGAAGGCATCATCAAAAATCCTGCTCACCCAGGTCAAAGCTACAACAACAATGAGTGAGTCACATCTGAACTATCTTAGATATTTGCAAACCAAAGGCAGCATTGGAAACTTTCACAGCAGTTTATCATTACATTTTTGCCATAGGATGTGTCTGTGGTCCATTCGAGTTGCCGCTGGAGAACATATACTACTGGAGTTCCTGGAGTTTGACCTGGAGAATGATACACAGTGCCACAGCGATCACCTGACTGTGTACGTGGATGAAGACAGGCAAATAGGTGGGAGAAACTATGACTTTGTTGTTGTTCTACCTTCTGTAAGTGGTTGTGAGGTTCTATGTTGCCTTGTGACCTTGTTCAACAGGTCGATTCTGTGGTGGTCAACCTCCACCTCCGGTTCTTATTGGTGGTTCCCACAGTATCACAGTGCAGTTTGTGTCTGATGTAAGCAGCACAGGTGCAGGATTTGCCATCCAATTCAGTGCTGTTGACAAGGACTACAGTTTTGGTGAGTTGAATCTGTCTGACTGATTTCTCTTGTTGTTGTGCACCCAACTCTGAAAAGCCTACAGTACAAAGTTCCTTGAATGTGACACAATAATGCTTGCAGAAATCTGAAGATTCAAGCCTGTTTGTTGACAGTGCAATGACAATGCAGGATGAGTTGTGCAGCTGTATAGTACCGACCATTATGCATTGCATGGATGGTTGGAACAGCATGCTTGCTTACTGTGCACTTGATTAGCATGCTTGCACAGGCCTGATGATGTTGTTTTCGAGCATTGCCTCATTTACATGTCTGTGTATCCATACAGTCCCGTTATTAAAACACATTCCACCCTAATTGTGCTCTCCTTAGCAGCACAGGTTGTGCCCAACTGATCTGTTGGTTTCATCATTTGGTCTGCAAGGTGTGTTCATTTCCCCAGTCAGGTTGAGAGGCAAACTAACTTTTCCCCAGTAGAATTCTGTTTTCGCACTACTGCCGATAGGCTCCTCAGAGAGCAGAGAGCTTATCTCAATGGGACCGTTTCCATAGTTACATGTCTGCCAGGGGGCCAACTACCAGTGGTAAGTTCGGAGAAGGTAAGAGCTAGGTTCAAATCACCACCCTGTTCCCCTCAGTATGACCCTTGCCAGACAGAAATGTGACACCATGCTGCAACGTCATTGGCCGGGCTCCATTCCACCAGTTTCTCCTTTTGTGTTTGTGCAGGGGCTGAATGTGGAACAGTGGTGCTGTTACAGCCCAAGGGGGCTGTGTGGAGCCCCGGCTACCCGCAAGCCTACAGCAACAACACTCTTTGCCGCTGGGTCATCTATGCCCCAGAGGGCCATATAGTCAAGGTAAAAACAACTCTTAAGCTCTTGTGTTGGCCCAGTCATTGCCTGGTGTCTCCTCTGTCCAGTCGTGACCTGTCTGTCCAGTCATGAATGCATTCATGCAGTGAGATTGGGAGCTCTGATCGGTTTCACTGCAAGAGAGAATGTGATACTCAATTAGACTCCAAAGAGCGACACCATGACGTCACTGCAGTCATGTAACGCTGGTTGTTTCCTGCTGTTTACAAAGTGCAATGTAAACTGTTTCAAATTAAGAACCTTTCAGATTTTTTATTTAACTAAATGATACAGTTATGGCAGAAAACCAAACTTGGCTATACTATGTGCATAATCATATCACTCTGTTTGCTAAATGCTAACACGCTGATTATAATAGAATAACTTCGCTATGTGCCTTAAAGCTGGACTTTGATGACTTTGACCTTGAGGAGTCAGAGAACTGCAAATATGATTCACTCACAGTGTTTGGAGACATTGATGGCAAGGATGAAATAGGTAAAGTACAAAACAAGATTTGATTTTCTTATATGAAATATTGTTACAATCTGAAATAACGGTTTTCTATTTGGATAAACAGTACTTAAAATGTAAGAAATATTTCTTATTGTTATCAATTTTGAAAACAGTTCTGCTGCTTAATATTTTTATGGAAACCGTGATACTTTTTTTTCAGGATTCTTTGAACAGCATTTAAAGGGATAGTTCACCCAAAAATGAAAATGACCTCATAATTTACTCACCCTCAAACCACCCTAGTTGTAAATTACTTTCTTCTTTCAGACGAATACAATCAGAGTTGTATTAAAAAAATGTCCTGGCTCTTCCAAGCTTTATAATGGCAGTGAACGGTGGTCGAGATTTTCTAGCAAAATAAAGTGCGTCCATCCATCATAAAAAGTACTCCACATGGCTCCAGGGGGTTAATAAAGGCCTTCTGTTGTAAATCAATGTGTTTGTGTAAGAAAAATATCCATATTTAAAACTTTATAAACCGTAATCTTTAGCTTTCGCTAACTGTTGTATGTGTTCATGAGAGAGTGGCGTACCAGCGGATGAGGAACGCTTGAGGGTGAGTAATTCATGGGGTATTTTTCTATCCCTTTAAAGATTTTGCACTGCACCATTATGGGAAATGTAGTCTTCAAGTGTTCTGCTCTTTTAATTTTTGTGTTTTAAGTGATTGTATGTGGCGCGAGCATCCCTCCAGCTGTTCTCAGCTACGGTCGCATAATGCTTCTACAGTTTAGCACAGACAACACCATCTCCACCCATGGTTTCAACGCCTCCTTTTCTTTTATCAGCGAAAAAGGTGAGAGTTGACCAAACCTGACCCACATGTGACCCACATGTATAAATAGTATGCCTCAGCATAAACACGCGAGCCAGCCTAAAAATATTTATACTTCCTCTGAAAGGTCAACAGTAAAGTTAAAATCACATTGCTGTCTATGCACATTTATACATACTTTACTTTAAAAAACTTAATAAAAAAAAAAACTTAAAATAAAGGTTATTTGATATTATGTTATGTATGATATTATACATTATGTGTACAAAATATAAAATTCAAGATTTTTTTCAAAAATGTCTCAAATTCATATAAATGTTTAAATTGAACTTTTCGCTTGATTGTTATGTTAGTAATATAATTTATAATTAAAATATTTATATTCAATTAGAAGAGGTCATACCTAACCGTTGGACACCACAAAAATATATTATCATTTTTTTATATTTTACATAAAAACCCATTCTGCAACAAAGACACAATGAATACTGCTTATACAGGACCCAACATACTAAATCTTTCTTTGACACCACTGAGTTTGTAACCAAAGACTTCTGAAGTGTGAAATGATGAAAAAAATGATTTTGTCATCACAGATCTCAGCGAGTCGGCGTTTGAAAATCAGGGGGAGGAAGCAGATGATGACAGCAGAGTTATCTCACCACATTTGCAGGCTGGTTTGTGCTGCACACACGCTTGCTTTTGTCCTTTCTGCTGTCCACAGTCACATCAACTTTTTTGTTGAGCTCTAAAAGAGACTCCTTGTCTCAGAGGGCCTTTAGAATGCGTGGAATCCAGCTGGAGTCAGAAAATGTGTAAAATAAGGCAACACACACATATTGAGTCACAAATGAGAATGTGTTTATCTCTGAACAGATTGTGAATGTGTATTTGGTTTTTACCTCAAGCATTCAAGCACATGTTCCACTGAATTCTCAGCTCCGTATGGAATGCCTGACATCTTTGCTACCTCTGGACTGGAAGCCCCAAGGACAACAGAGGATGATGGGAAACTGTCGTGGCACGTGAGCATTAGTTTGGGTGCAGGTTATGAATGCAGTGGGGCGATCATCCAGTTGCAATGGATCCTTACTGAAGCACACTGTGTCTATAACCTGTGAGCAACAAACATGCAAGACATTTTCAAAAAATTACCATTGGAAAAAGACATTCAAACTTATTCAAAACAGTGTAGTACCTTTTTTATGATGATTGATTTCTTTGTAGGGAAGAACGACACTTGAGACTTTTATCAGTGACAGCAGGAGGCTCAAAGAAACAGGTGAGATGGACACCGACAGGAAGAACAAGAAAATTGGATGGAATGGAAAGATTTAGATTTGGGATCAAATTCATTCATCTTGTGTCTTAAAGGGATAGTTCACCCAAAATTGACTACAGAATTTTCATTTTTGGGTGAACTATTACTTTAACACAAATATCTCTTTCTCAGATCTATGACGTGATTGGAGTACTCATACACCCTCATTACAGCCCATTCTCTCTCGACTACAATGTGGCTTTGCTTAAGCTGAGCTCTCTGTTAAATCTCAGTGAAAGTACGCAGCCTGTCTGTCTACCCTCTGCTGGACAGGAAATCCCACCCTCCATCCATTGCTGGGCTCCGGCGTGGACCAGCCAAATGTGTACGTCACCCATCTGCCTTCACAAGTTGACCATTGTGATGGTTACACAATAGTCTGGCTGATATCTGTGTGTGTGCAAACATGACATTTCATGACTACTTGTTGAATAAATTGAAAGCTGACATAGTGTTGAACTTGAATGATCTTGAATGTCACTTGAGCAACTTTCCTAAAGCATCATTTTAATTTCCCTGTTGCACAATTTGAGCTTTAGGTGAATGTTATGCACTCTTTTTAGCAGGACCTGTACGGCTAAAAATATCAGTGCTGGAACGAGCGGTGTGTGAACAACGCCACAGAACTAGATTGACACCTACTATGCTATGTGCTGGACTGAGCAGTGGAGAATCATGCATGGTGAGCAACTGTACACTACACTAAACACTCACCGTTTACTACAAGGAAATGTAATTGAAGAAATGCTGACCTCTAGTGGGTACGTTTGGTAATGATTCTTAAAACACATACTCAAGTTACTTAAAGGGATATTTCATCCAAAAAATTTAAGTTCTGTCATTAATTACGCACCCTAATGTCATTCCAAACCCGTGAGAGCTTTGTTCATCTTCAGAACACAAATTAATATATTTTTGATGAAATTCAAGAGCTTACTGACCCTGCATAGACAGCAACAGAACAGACACATTAAAGGCCCAGAAAGGTAGTAAGGACATCGTTAAGTGAAGTGACATGTGGCCAAGTATGGTGACATACTCGGAATTAGTGCTCTGCATTTATCCCATCCAAAGTGCACACACACAGCAGTGAACACACACACACACCGTGAACACACACCCGGAGCAGTGGGCAGCCATTTTTTGCTGCGGCGCCTGGGGAGCAGTTGGGGGTTCGGTGCCTTGCTCAAGGGCACCTCAGTCGTGGTAATCAATGTAATCAATAACATGACAGATGTAGCACATCCGCATTACATTCATGCTATACAGAACATACTTTCCTAGCTGTTGCGGAGTAATTACATATTCAACAGAAGTACCTACTTGGAGAGAGATGTGATTTCAGTTGCAACCTATGGCTTTTTTTGATGTAACAACAAAAGGAGATGTTAAACAGCACAAGCTCCAAAAAGGACAAAAAAATAATGATGATATTTTAGGTCATTAATTGCCAATTTGCTAATGAGCATCATTGTTACTATACCACGCTCAAAAATAGAGAAGATATTTTGAAGCCTGTTGAAGACTCAACAAAGACATTTTGGAATGGCATGAGGGTGAGTAAATAATCGCAGAATTCATTTTTTGGGTGAGCAATTCATTTGAAGTCACTGTTGCAAATGCAAATTTCGGTGAATAGTAGCTTACATTTGGTTCTTTTCTCTGGAATACTGTCTTGCTCTAGACTCACTGGACTGCTGGACCTCTCGTTTGTCTAACAAACACATCTGGTGTTGTTCTGATGGGAGTGAAGGGTCGGGGAGAACCGTGTGGTGGAATCCAGAAGTGTGCGGTATATTCCTCAGTACCAGCCATTATGCACTGGATCTCACAGCATTTAAACATGGAGTGAAAACCTCACATATTAACATAACAACCATTTAAAGGGGTCATATGATGCTATTTTAAAGATCATTATTTTGTGTATTTGGTGTAACAGAATATGTTGACATGCTTTAATGTTCAAAAAACACATTATTTTTCAAATACTGTACATTTTTGTAGGTCCTCTATGCCCCGCCTCTCTCAAACGCTCGTTTTCTACAAAGCCCCTCCTTCCGACAAGCACAGTCTGCTCTGACTGGCCAGCTGACCCAGTGAATTGTGATTGGCCGAACACCACAAGCACGCGTTGGAAATGTAAGGCCTGTTTCCATAATCGCGAGCTTCAGCTTTCAACATAAATGTTAAGACAGTACAGAATGTCCTTAGTTTTACCATCAGTTCAAGCCCGAAAGGGGAACAGAGTCACGTGACAGACACAGTGATTATGCTCGTATGTTTTTGCAGTACACAAGCCACTGTGATGTGACCCCTTCTCTCTCTCACGCACACGCACACACACACACACACACACACAACGCGATACTCTAGTCTACACGGCCCAAAACTCCACTTTTGAACAGTCAATAGCAAATACGGGGAACAGAGTCACGTGACAGACACAGTGATTATGCTCGTATGTATTTGCAGTACACAAGCCACTGTGATGTGACCCCTTCTCTCTCTCAACATTTGGGCTGCAGTATGCAAATATTTCCACATCGTGACATAGAGATGTGGGGGCGTGTTTGAATGAGGCGTCTGGATCAGCCTTCTCTTTTAGATAGAATAAATCCTTTTGTGGGAGACTTTGAGCTTTGTAACTCTGCAGATCTTATACATGCACAAATAGCTACATAACACACTAAAGAAAAGGAAAAATAGAAATCGCATTATATGACCCCTTTAACATAAATCGTCAGTTGTGAGGTATACATTTGTTGTTTACTTACTAGCATATGTATTTCTTGTTCAGAAAAAAAAAATCAGTATATTTTTTGTTAAATCTTTCTTTCTAAAGTATTCTGAAACATAATTTTTTTAAACCAAGATCACCTTTGCTAACTCGAATAAAACATTTTAAATCTTCAAAAATGTCAGGCATTTCTGTTCCTACTCTAATGGCGAATGCCTAAGGTACTGTACTTGAGGGCTTTCCTTGACCCATCCCTCTGAATGTGTTGTCATGCAGTGGAGTGATCCCACACCATTCACACAGATACATGAACAACCATAGGCAGTGCTCTGTCACAGCCTGCTCATTTGAATATTATATTCCTATTGGTTGGGGCCACTGCGAGGCCTACTCCAATTGGCTGCATTTCATTAACTCCATACTCTTCTACTATCAACTGGCCTTAGTGCAAAGGTTGGAATACAGCAAAGAAATGAACCATGAACAAATTCTACCTCACATACGCTGAACCCTGACCATACCAACGGATGCAGTACAGGAAAAAGACTGCAGCATGGATCAAGTTCTAGTGAGTAATTTATTTCTCCCTTTTTAAATTTTCTGCACTTTCACAAATTCGCTGCTTTGCAAAAAGCAATTAGCACCTTCCCTTTCCTCCCTGTCAGTTTCACAGTTGTCTGTTGATTTTATTCTGAATGTTCGAATGACAGCAGTGGAAAGAAGGTGAGAAGTAATTACAGACATATGCAGGTTATCAACTCAATGTTGAATGTAGCACAATATGCCAATAGTTTATAAGTGTTAGTTGTTCTGTATACTGTCAAATGTTTAAACACACCTACTCTGTTATTATGACTATTTTCACATTTTAGAATAATAGTTAAGTCATCAAAACAAATGCAAGCATGGGAGTTATGTGAACTCGTGCAATAAAAACAAAAGAAAAAGTAATGTCGATTATATATTATTATTATTCAAGTTCATATACATTTTAAAACTAGTTTATATATATTACACATGTATATTTGAACTACATTTTGTCTACAAAACTATAGAATAATTCTATATTTAGAATACAGAATAATAAATAATAGTTAAGTCATTAAAATATTGCAAGTATGGGAGTTATGTAGTGTTGAAATGTTAGATAATGAAATTATATTAAATAATACATAAATTTAACACTCTAGTTCCTTTCCTGAAAAGAAAGATATGCATTTATAATTAAAATGTTTAGTATAATTAAACTTTAAATTGTTATTTATAATTGTTATCATTTAGTTGTAACGTGTTTAACATGTACTTTGCAGACAGTACCTGTGCTAATCGGGATATCTATAGTGGTGATCACGGTCCTCTTCCTCCTCCTAAAACCAGGAGGCTCCAATGGAGGCCGAAAGCAGAGCAAGTTTCCCAAAACCTTGCAGGATCCCAATGTGAAATATCCATTGCCACTCATAGAAAAAGAGGTCAGTCAGAATTTAAATGCGAACAGAGAGTTCTCCTGCAAAGGAAAGCACGAATATTACTGCAACTCAACTGAACTACTTGCATTTGCTTTGCAACAGGAAATCACTCATGACACGAAAAAATTCCGGTTTGGTCTTCCGTCCTCTTCTCACGTTCTTGGTCTCCCTCTTGGTAGGACATTGCGCTATATACCTTTATCACGTCAGCAGAATCACCTGACCTTGAAATCTGACAACAGTCTAATTTCACAGTATCACCTGAGTTTCACTCATTTTCTAAGGCGGATCTTGTATTCTGTGTCACAGGTCAGCATGTTTACCTGTCTGCAAAGGTGAATGGGAATCTGGTTATTCGTGCATACACACCTGTGTCCAGCGATGAGGACCAGGGATACGTTGATCTAGTTGTAAAGGTGCGCTGCAATACATTTTGTAGTTGCAAATGACTGGTTATGTTTTATAGTTGGCTATTACTTCATACGTTTAAAAAAAAAAAAAAAAAATCCCTTTCTTTAATATCTTACGTCAGGTCTACTATAAAAATACTCATCCAAACTATCCCGATGGAGGCAAGATGTCTCAGTACTTGAATGATATGAAGACTGGAGACACCATTGACTTTAGGGGTCCAAATGGATTACTGGTATACAATGGAAATGGTAAGGAAAAATACAATATAATAGCCTAACATAATACTCACATAACACTGTTTGTATGATGCAATGTATTCAGTCACTAGAGGGCGATGTCTTATTATTTTAAGATTGCTATAACAAATGCATGACCTGCACACACGATGCATTTTAAAATATTTAAATGCTGCAGATGCTGAATATATTTCCTTACTGACATTTACAGGGCAGTTTGCTATTCGACCTGATAAAAAATCTGAACCCAAAGTGCGGAAGTTCAGACACGTGGGCATGATTGCTGGAGGAACAGGTAATGATGCACATATTTTGAACGGGCTCCAAAGTATTCTTAGTAGGTTTCCAGGCGTTGCTGCCAAGATAATTCATCAAAATATGTATTAATTGAAGGTGACACGTTCATTCTTTCAGGCATCACTCCAATGCTGCAGCTGATCAGGAGTACAACCGCAGATCCTGCTGATAACACCAAGTGCTCCCTTATATTTGCCAACCAGGTCAGTCACATTTATGACGAAATATTCATTAAGCAAACAAATTCATTCTTTCAGGCATCACTCCAATGCTGCAGCTGATCAGGAGTATAACCGCAGATCCTGCTGATAACACCAAGTGCTCCCTTATATTTGCCAACCAGGTCAGTCACATTTATGACGAAATATTCATTAAGCAAACAAATAAATAAATAAGCAATTCAATACTGTAAAAAGAGATCAATATGCGTATGGAGATTAAACACGGCAAACAATATGTTTTTGACAATGAAATTAGGGGCCTAATGTGACATAGGCCTAATGTGGCTAAGTAAACCGTTTTAAAAATATAACATAAAACCCGAAGTAGTGTGGTAAATTAGCTATTCACTTGCATACATTTTTCGCCTTCAAAGAAAATAGTTCCAACGGTAGTCAAAGCTTTACCAACGTACCGGCGGAAAGCAGGACTGGACTGGAGTCAGTTAGTGAGTGGAGCGGAGTGATAGAGATAGCGCTGCATACCCTCTCTGTCGAGATCCGTTCCGGGTTTTCTGTTTTCACTTTCCCCGCTCCAAGTAAGCAGGGAGCGAAATAAAACGTTGACGCTCACGCTTGTAACTTTGAAAAACTCGTTCCATACTACAAGACAAAACCCCACGCAGCTCCACACGGGAGAAAATACTCACGCTCTGACTTCAATAAAACTCGCTCTTTTCGTAAGACATGCATACCCTCTCTGTCGAGATCCGTTCCGGGTTTTCTGTTTTCACTTTCCCCGCTCCAAGTAAGCAGGGAGCGAAATAAAACGTTGACGCTCACGCTTGTAACTTTGAAAAACTCGTTCCATACTACAAGACAAAACCCCACGCAGCTCCACTTGCACGGGAGAAAATACTCACGCTCTGACTTCAATAAAACTCGCTCTTTTCGTAAGACAAACTACGAACTGCTCGCATAGTCTTCACTGAAATACCGTGAAGACAAGCGGAGTGATACAACAGTGAACTACTGCTACAACAACCGCTTGACCAATCAAATCAAATTGAACAAATTGTTCTATAAAAGTAGATTAATTTATTTTAGTAACAATAATTAAATGTTTCCCCCTTGTTTTAATCAATTACTCATTGATTTAAAATTGTTATATTTTTGCCTAAACACAAAAACATTTCCAACGGAATAAGCAAAATAAACAATTCAGATATTTTCTCAACACAAGTCTCAACATCTCACACAAATAAACATCTTGATAGATTTCTCTGAAAACAAGACTTAATATCTTATGTCATTTGTATGTGGTTTTTAATTATAGTGGAGCATATAAGTATAAATATAATTTTCCATTAATAATAATAAAAAAAATATACAAAGTTTTATAGGAATGATGGATCCTCTAAATAAAAAAATAAATACAATTTAAACTTTTGAATTTTGCTGAGATTTATTCACACTTAATAAACATCAGACCACCTCATGTTTGTCAGCTGTGCTCTAAGAAAGTGTGTTTCACAGACTGAGAAGGACATATTGTTACGCAAAGAGCTGGATGAAGTTCATAGAAATCACCCCGATAAACTCAATCTGTGGTGCACACTGGACAAGCCCTCTGAAGGTACAGTTCATATGATATAAATATCTAGATGAATACCAATAATGATCATTTGACTGCTCTGCAGTAAAGATGACTGTGAAGGTTTTCTGTCTATGTTCTTGTGACAGGGTGGAAATACAGCAAAGGGTTTGTTGATGCTGACATGATAAAAGACCATCTCCCGCCTCCGGCCAGTGATGTGCTCATCGTGATGTGTGGTCCACCCCCCATGATCCAGTACGCGTGTCTGCCAAACCTCGACAAGCTGGGCTACAAAATAGAGAATACTTTTGCATACTAATCTCCTGCCAATGATATTGCACAAACAAATTCTCTGATAATTTGTAAAAGGTGGTTTACATCTTGTTAAACATGTCAAATTGTTGCCAGATGTAGGTTTAAAAATTGATTTTTGTTAAACCCATTTGGTTTTGTTTGTGGTAAATTATCTCAGGAAAAAAAAAAGAGGAAAACACCTTCTGAATTAAATACATTTTTCATTTCTTACAAACCTCAGAATATTTTATTAGATTTAGATTTATATAGATTCTCTGAAAACAAGACATATGTTAATTATTGACAATGATCAAGACCAATAACAATCAAGAATTAGTTGATTTATGAATGGGTGCATTTAAATAAAAAATATGAATATATGTTATAATTAAAATATGATCATTTGGACAGATTTCTCTGATAACAAGAGTTAATATATTAAATAATGTAATGACAATTATTTTTGCTGTAAAAGGACAAAAAAGATGAAGGATAAGATTTCTCCATGAGTGGAACATCTAAATTAAAAATACAAATATTTGTTTATATAAAAAACAAGCGGAGAGAGAGCTAGATAGAGAGATAGATGGATAGACGGACAGATAGACAGACAGATAGATAGATAGATAGATAGGTACAGTAGATAGATAGATAGATAGGTACGGTAGATAGATAGATAGATAGGTAGGTAGGTAGATAGATACATACTGTAGGTAAATAGGTAGATAGATACTGTAGATAGATAGATACTGTAGGTAGATAGATAGATAGATAGATAATATGTATTTCTGCACATTATTTTGTATTTTAATTGCATCTAGTAACAGTTAAGTTTTGCTGGAGACAGACAGACACCAGACACTAGTTATAAGGCTGGAAAGTCTAGGGAAAGCATCAACATACAGACCCAGAGTTGCATTCAAAGCATCTGTTACCAAGTGGTGAGCTGCTCATTAGAATAAACCCACAAAAAAGGTATTAAATCGAGTAAAAACAGCTCAACTGTTAAGTAAACTTAACAAGCATGGTCAGAGGATCGCCACCCTCCTTACCAACCACTGCTTTTAACATCTCACTTGGAGTGACGAAGCATTTCGCACCTTTGAAGAAGTGATCGATAAAGACCTGGTCAATTCTCACACACTTCCCCACAGCTGCTTGCAGATTGTTGCTCAGCAGCCCGTAAATGTTCCCCTCGTCGTTCTGGCGCCCAAAAAAGAGGAAAAGCGCGTAACAGTCTCTGCCGATGGAAGAGCAGAACTCCACCATCCTCTCAGCTTGGGTTCTTTCCACCACATCCATCCCGGCCATGCGCATGATGTCGCTGTAGATATCTAAGGACAGCTCCTCGTCGTTGTCCTCTGTTCTTTCCAGCAGATGAAACACCTGGACCGCGATCTGGATTCGGGGGTTCTTGCTGGGCTGATCCAACACGGCCCAGACCCAGTGGGCACCCAGCAGGATCCTCTGTTCTGGGGTCATGGCCGTGCAGTTGAACGTGTCGGTGAGATTCAGCAGGCTGCTGTGCTGGATGTAGGTCATCAGAAAGATCTCGCTTAGAGTTGAAGGACTTGGGTGGAATTTGTTCTCCGGATCCCTGAAGAGCAGATACTCCTTTGTCCTGGATGAAGCCGCCTGGATGCAGTCCCTAAAGAGGTGGATGAGGTCTGCCGAGGCAGTTTTGTTGGGTTTAGCCCATAAGGTTCTGAAAAAACTGGTTTTGGCTTCATACTGCAGATTTGTTTGCTTCATTCCAGCTGGTCTAGTTCAAAGCGTGGTTTCCCTTATACACTGGAAATATTGATACATAATTAGATTATTGCATTTTCCATTTACTATTTCTTCAAATTTTGCTTTATCTCATCAAGTTAAATTCAAAATGAATGAAATTTAACAACAAACAAAAATCATAAAATTATTATTTTTTAAATTAATAATTAATTAATTGATTAAAAGCAACTTTGTAATGTTTGCCTTTTTAAAACCGAATAGTTTTATTTAGGGCTGTCAAAACCAATTCATTGTGATCTGCATCCAAAATAAAAGTTTGTGTTTACATAATGTGTGTGTATGGTGTATATTTATATGTATATATAAATACACACATATACATGTATATATTTAATAAATATTTACATATGTGTGTATATTTGTATGTATATTAAAATATATACTATCAGTTCGTTTTTTTAAAAGATATTAATACTTTATTCAGCATTAATGCATTAAATGATCATTTTTTTATTCAACAAAGAAAAATATATCAGTTTCCCCCAAAATAACAAAAATGGTTTTTGACATGGGTAATAATAATAACAACAACAACCACCACCATTATTAATAACCAAGCACCAATTATACAGTAATTGTGAAGACCTTGTGACACTGAAGACTGGAGTAAAAACTGTAATATTTCACAATATTTTTGATCAAATGAATGCAGCCTTAGTGAGAATAAGAGACCTCTTTCAAAAACTGCATTTAAAAAAAAATATTCCAAACTTTTAACCGGTAGTGTACACACACACAGTTTATTTCTATTTTACAAATTCTATTATAAAGTACAATTTCTATTATTTCTATTATTACAAATGAACATTTATTAACAAAAATATTAAAATAATTAAAAATCAAATAGGTGGCATCGCTAACATTACAGTGTTTATGTTATAATAAAATAGTTGTCAATGGACATGTAAAATGTTGTCAGGTAAAATAACTCACCAATATTATTCTTTCCTTTGTATTGGGTGAGAGTGAACCTGCGGTTGGATCTTTCTTCTCTTCTCTGGAGTCCTATTAAGATAAGTGTGCTCATTTAAAGCTCAGCCCTCATATAAGGGCTTCCCAAAGTTTGTCACTGTGTTTGTCAGTTGGGCAAGTCGTCATACACAGCATAAAGCCACCTAGCACCACAACAAACCCTTTTTAACTCTTGGAGTGGATTTAACAGAGGTATATCAAGCAAACAACCATACCTTCTCAAAAAACAAACTGCTTTTAACATATTACATAGTTTAAAAAAAGATTAAGTAAAACAGCCTAAGAAAATGACAAAGTGTTGGGCAAACAAAGGATTTAGGCTACTCACATCCAGTTCCATTGGCTACATGAATGCAATATTTTAAGAAAAACACAATGGTTGAGGTAGATGATTTCAACTATTGACAGAAAGGCTTTTGTAGGTTTGAAAAGTGCTGTCCACATATTACACAAAATCTTTTTTTTTTTTTTCTTCGCTCTCTCGAACACAGATCTGATTGCCAAACAGTACACCATAACCTCAAAACACATCAAAAATAATTAGTAATACAATAACAGGAATAGTAGAGCTGTGTTCTTGAGCTGGATTAGGTAGGATTGTGTTACACAGTTCAGGTCCTGAAGCTTTGAGGGTGAGGTGGGTTAGGTTGAGGTACGCTCTCGGAGGGACGGTGGATCACACTATGGCGGTCTGGCTGCGTCTCATTCCTCTCAGCAGCTCGTCTCGGCTGAGTAAGTACTGTAAGTGAGAGGAGGTGAAGGTGCCAGGATTAGTCCGAAGATCTGCATAAGTTAAACCTAGTTAAGCAGAGTTAGGGCCCCGTTCAGACCAAACACGCTTTTTTTTTTAGATCTGAAAATGGAAGGCGCACTGCACTGCCTTTTTTTGGTGACTTTTTAAAAAAAAGAGCAGTGCACACCAATTCAGCTGTCCTGTCAGTCTAATCAAAGGATTATAGCGCGAGCGCTCTAAAATCTTTGGTTTTGGCTGTTAAGTAAACTGCCATATTAGCAAAAACCTTAAAAATACAGCTCCGGCCCGTGTAACCCGTGACAGACACCAATAGTTTCTCCTCCATCATTGCAGTCTCCGCAGTCAAGTACAACCAGTGTTGCCAACTCATTTTCAGGGGAAGTTGCTAAAGGAAGGTCAATTCGTTGCTAAAAGTTGCTAAATGACGTTGTGATGTCATTGCACGATGACATCATTACATAATTATAATATTAAAATATAAATAACTGTATTTTTAAATACAACATTGAATTATTGAACACTTGCACGTTTTTGAACAATTAGGACCTACAATTTTTTTTATTAGCTAGTAAACTAGTAAAACTACACATTCTGAACAATTAGTTTTAAGCAGTGTATTAGCAGTTAGTTATTATGCTACACTCGAAGAAAATATCTTTTCTTTTTAAAAAACAATTATTCAATTATTATTATTAAATTGAGCAGTTGCTAATAGCAGCTAACTTAATTCATGTGATGCGTGTACTGCTAGGCATCTTTGGTTTCCTCATTTTGTGTAATTTAGATGGAAAATGTGTGCCTTTTTATCTTTAGAGTCACTTATCGAAAGTTGCTAAAAGTTGCCAAATAAATTTTTAAAATAGCTAAATTTGTTGCTAGGTGCTTTTGGAAGAAAAAGTTGCTAGGGTAGTATGAAAAGTTGCTAAATTTAGCAACAAAATTGCTAAGTTGGCAACACTGAGTACAACGGTTAACTTTCGTCACCACAACAGAAGGCCCGCCTCTCCATTCATTCGATTGGACAATGGAAAAGTGTGCTCATTTAAAGCTCAGCCCTCATATAAGGGCTTCCCAAAGTTTGTCACTGTGTTTGTCAGTTGGGCAAGTCGTCATACACAGCATAAAGCCACCTAGCACCACAACAAACCCTTTTTAACTCTTGGAGTGGATTTAACAGAGGTATATCAAGCAAACAACCATACCTTCTCAAAAAACAAACTGCTTTTAACATATTACATAGTTTAAAAAAAGATTAAGTAAAACAGCCTAAGAAAATGACAAAGTGTTGGGCAAACAAAGGATTTAGGCTACTCACATCCAGTTCCATTGGCTACATGAATGCAATATTTTAAGAAAAACACAATGGTTGAGGTAGATGATTTCAACTATTGACAGAAAGGCTTTTGTAGGTTTGAAAAGTGCTGTCCACATATTACACAAAATCTTTTTTTTTTTTTTCTTCGCTCTCTCGAACACAGATCTGATTGCCAAACAGTACACCATAACCTCAAAACACATCAAAAATAATTAGTAATACAATAACAGGAATAGTAGAGCTGTGTTCTTGAGCTGGATTAGGTAGGATTGTGTTACACAGTTCAGGTCCTGAAGCTTTGAGGGTGAGGTGGGTTAGGTTGAGGTACGCTCTCGGAGGGACGGTGGATCACACTATGGCGGTCTGGCTGCGTCTCATTCCTCTCAGCAGCTCGTCTCGGCTGAGTAAGTACTGTAAGTGAGAGGAGGTGAAGGTGCCAGGATTAGTCCGAAGATCTGCATAAGTTAAACCTAGTTAAGCAGAGTTAGGGCCCCGTTCAGACCAAACACGCTTTTTTTTTTAGATCTGAAAATGGAAGGCGCACTGCACTGCCTTTTTTTGGTGACTTTTTAAAAAAAAGAGCAGTGCACACCAATTCAGCTGTCCTGTCAGTCTAATCAAAGGATTATAGCGCGAGCGCTCTAAAATCTTTGGTTTTGGCTGTTAAGTAAACTGCCATATTAGCAAAAACCTTAAAAATACAGCTCCGGCCCGTGTAACCCGTGACAGACACCAATAGTTTCTCCTCCATCATTGCAGTCTCCGCAGTCAAGTACAACCAGTGTTGCCAACTCATTTTCAGGGGAAGTTGCTAAAGGAAGGTCAATTCGTTGCTAAAAGTTGCTAAATGACGTTGTGATGTCATTGCACGATGACATCATTACATAATTATAATATTAAAATATAAATAACTGTATTTTTAAATACAACATTGAATTATTGAACACTTGCACGTTTTTGAACAATTAGGACCTACAATTTTTTTTATTAGCTAGTAAACTAGTAAAACTACACATTCTGAACAATTAGTTTTAAGCAGTGTATTAGCAGTTAGTTATTATGCTACACTCGAAGAAAATATCTTTTCTTTTTAAAAAACAATTATTCAATTATTATTATTAAATTGAGCAGTTGCTAATAGCAGCTAACTTAATTCATGTGATGCGTGTACTGCTAGGCATCTTTGGTTTCCTCATTTTGTGTAATTTAGATGGAAAATGTGTGCCTTTTTATCTTTAGAGTCACTTATCGAAAGTTGCTAAAAGTTGCCAAATAAATTTTTAAAATAGCTAAATTTGTTGCTAGGTGCTTTTGGAAGAAAAAGTTGCTAGGGTAGTATGAAAAGTTGCTAAATTTAGCAACAAAATTGCTAAGTTGGCAACACTGAGTACAACGGTTAACTTTCGTCACCACAACAGAAGGCCCGCCTCTCCATTCATTCGATTGGACAATGGAAAAAAACGCGAATGACGTTGGGTGCTTTTCTGCTCAGAGTTGCTTTATTTTTTTCAACTTCAGAGCGCACCTATTAAAACGTGAGGCGCAGCAGGCGGCTAAAAAAAACACGAGGCACCCGGGGCGCATTAAACAGCGAAAAAAATGCAGTCGGTCTGATCGGGGCCTTAAACCTAAACATTTTGTAATATGCGACACTAGGGCTAGGTGATATACTAAATTTTCACTTTTTTTAAATTAAATTTTGGCATTTTTGCCTTTTATTGTGATAATGATAGGAAGGAAAGTGGGAGAGAGAGGGGGGGGGGTGGGGGGCGGGATCAGAAAGGTCCAAGAGTCTGGATTTGAACTCGGGACACTCATAGCGCAACGGCACTATATGACAGCACACTGCCCACAAGGCTATCAGCGCCAACAAGATTTTTCACTTTGATCATTTTGCTTTAAAAAAAATAATTTTAAGCATTGTGAATATTGCACATTTTATTTGGCCATTTGACCTTTTTAACATTTCTAGGGTTTTCAAAAGCAAAACTTTTTAAAACAATTATTATACTGGTGCATATAAATACAAAATATAAATTAAATTTTCCCTTAATAATTTCAACAGAACGATGAGTCTTACTACAACTACTAAAAATATAATAATAATAAATCCTAAGTAGTGTCAGTTCGAGCAATATATGTAAATTATTAATTATATACATTTATTTAAGTTATATTGCATTGAAAACGACAGCAATATTCACATTGCTTAATATTTTTAAATTGTATAATTGTATAATTTTAAATATACTGCATATTTAGGTTAACAAACTATTAAAATAATAATTTGTTAATAGACACTCTAGAGTTAAAAAAGCAAGTTATCCACTTACTGTGAGGTTGTTAATTCCCCTGGATAAGGCCTCAATCTGCATCCCTGATCCTTTAGTGTGCAACAGCTGAAAAACCATGATATCCATTAAATATATCAACGTAAATAATGTAAGTTCATATTCATCATCTTTTGGTCATAGGTAAGTACAAATATAGTTACTAATAGATGGAATATTAAGCAGAAGCAATGGGTGATAATGAAGTGCAAATATTGTGAAGAGAGTGAAATGTATATTAAAAAGTACCTGCACAAGTGCATGAAAGTCCTTTCCCAGCATGCACTTCTCCACATTGTGAAAATGGGCGTTTGGTGGTGGCCAGACATATTTGCAAATCATGCATGTCAATGTCACTTTTCAAAGTTTGTTATTAAAAATATGATTTAGTTTTAAATTGTATACAGCCGGGAAAACATATTAATCAACAATGATAAAATTAAGGGAAAAAAATATATAGCCACTCTATGTCCTCAAAAAACACAATATCACTGTGATTGAGGAAATTTATTGATTATGTCACGATATTTTGGATTATATGTTGTTACAGTATCTTCATCTGAAGAGGCAAGATATCTACCTATAAAAATACTCCTGTGCATTTTATTGTATGAAAATAACTTCATCAGATTATTTAAAATGTGCTGCTGAACATTTAATAGTAGTCTGTATGCTTTTTAAAAATTCACCATAAATATACCATTAAATTAATCCCTAAAAATGCAAATATTGCACGAGATTGTACACACTGTCTTTTAAAACAGCACAGATGTTAGGTTACAAAAATGGAATACTTGTTAGATAAATCTCATAATACATTTTTTACGATTCACAAAAAAATGATATAAAGTTAAATGTGTCTGTCCATCACAGGATAAATGGCACTATTCTGCTAAACCCTGCTGCCTTTGTGAGATCATGTCATTTACATTACTAAACCCTTGGATCCAAGTCTTCCTGCAGTGCCCATACTGCTGTCTTGTGTCCGTCAATGAGGGATGCTGGGATGTTATTAAATGGCACTGAACAGACCCAGGGTGTTGTTGGGAGGTTGTCGTGGTTTTGTGGGATATGGGTGGAGGGTTATTGGCTGCAAGCTCAGCGGTGACGGCTAGTAGAACGTCAGATCTGTAGAGCTCCCACCTGCACCCGTCTCTCTGGGTCCCTGTCAAAGATGGGGCTCAGGCCCCTGAAGCCGCTGTAGGGCCGGCTGGCCCCGTTGAGAAGGGCCTGGGCTTGTGAAGCATCTAGAGGGCAGATGTAGTCTGTGGAGTCGTCAGAGCGCTTCTTACGGTGACCAAAACTGGAGAAACCTATCTTACGTGGCTGAGGAACAACAAATGAAGAATAAAACACAACAGCATTAATAATAGGGACCAACATATATAGACTAACAGTATAACGGTTGTTTATAGATATCAGAGATGTCTTCTTATATTTCATTTAATTGTGCATGCACATTTCCAATATTTTTACATTTAAATTACCTAATTGCCATCATCTAATGCTTACTTAAAGTTAATATTTAAAACAATAATAATTTAATAACACTGTTAAATCTTTAGCAAATCAAATATCCAAAATGAATATCCATTTTGTAAATTATGTTGTAATGCCCAAATTCACTTTTAGTTAGTTTTTAGTTTTATTATTATTATTAATAAATTACATTTTCCCACCAAATTTTATTCTTTTTTCATTATTATTAACTTCCATTTAAAGTAATATTAAATTAAATTAATATTCAAATAATAATTATAAGTAATAATAATAATAATAATAATAATGTTTTCCCCCCACCAAATTCAATTATTATTAAATTCCACCAGTTTCATTAATTAATTATTACATTTAAATTAATTAAAATTAAATGAATTGGGCTGGATATCAGAAACCACCTTTTGATACGATACACATTTTGATTAAATAACAACAACAACAATAATAAAAAATATTTTTCCACCAAATGTAATTATTTTTTTTCTATTAATAATACAAATAATAATTATAAATAATAATAATAATAATATGGGTTTTTTCACCAAATTAAATTAATTACTATTAAAATGCCACCAGTTTCATTAATTATTACATTTAAATTAATTAAAATGAATGAACTGAATTGGGCTGGATATCAGAAACTACCTTATGATACGATACACATCTTGATTTGATACACTGCGAATTATCAGGAAATAATATATTTCTCTGCAGAGGTAGCGTATTTAAAACACACACTCTTTCCGTTATCAGGAAAAAAACGGCCTAAAAGACGATGGAAATGTTTCATCTAAAGCTTCATTGTGCTTAGTAAGTGTTACACACTGTAGGAGCACTTGCTCAGCACATTTGCTCTAGATGGACTAAGCGAAATGGAAGTGTCAAAACACATATGCTGCATCAGCTGAGATTAACCAGGAATCATGTGTTTGCGTGTGTCAGGGCTTCCGGCTTTATTCAGCTGCACGGATGAAGGTGTTTCTAAAGATGTGGTCAGCAAATCTGCGATTTCTCACCCGGACTTTAGCGGTGGTGGTCAGCGGCGTGTAGCCTGATGATTCCAGGTACTCTTGTTTCTCCTGCTGAGCCTGAGAGCCCATCAGCGTGTTGAAGTTAGTGGCCAGATGCCTCCTCAACAGAGTCTTCTGAGGGGGGATGTTCAGGAGCATCGCCAGCGTGTCCGAGTTAAAACGAGGTTCCAAGATCTGGGGGAAAAAAAGAAGATCTGGAGTTGCTATGGTGTTCTGAGAGGTTTCTGTGGTGTTCTGGGTAGTTTTTAATGTGCTGCTATGCATCTCCTAGGGTGTTCTGGATAGCTGGCTGCTGGTTGCTCATCAGCCCAAATGAAAAGCGACCATAAGAATTCATTTAGGAGACAAAGTTTGATTCGAGTTACTCACTATGAGTCCTCCATGCACTCCGCTGCCTCTCAGGTTGGGAGCGTATTCTGCCAGGTCAACCGATCTGAGCCACTCCATCACACGGTGATTGGACCACTGAACAACCTCAGAAGGCGACGTCTTATTCTGTCAAAACAACACGAATTTGCATATAAACAATGAGCATTATCAGTTCTGGAAGTGTTGAAGTAGATCGGCCTCTTTTTGTTTCGGTTTATTTCATCCTCACCTCATCTCCAGGTCTTCTTTTGAGGCAGTTGGGGTTGAACTTGTTGACATGTAGGACGTGGATAGCACACTTGATGCTGAGATGATGCAGCTGATTGCTAACTTTCAGGAACAGAAGATCATTCTGAAAATAAAACCAAAATACCAATATTGATCACATATGATGTAATGGTTAATTCCAGTCCGGCATTATAGGAAGTTAACAAAGAGGTTTACCACTGTCAAGTACTGCAGCATTCTACCGTCCACACGTCCTTCACTGAACTGGTCTTTATACTGTGGTAAACCAATATCATCCAGCCAACCTGTGTAGAAATAACATATAGTTTCTTTTTACAGCATGTAATTTCTTATTTGCATGATTTAAAATACATGTGTGTATTTATGGAGAACTAGGAGTGTCACTTAAAATAAATTCATTATCAATTAATTAATTCATACTTTTTTAAAAATAATTTATATTACATTAATTATAAGTTTTCAAATGTACAATTAAATACACACTTAAAAGTGTTTAATTCATGTTTTAAAATGTAGTTAATAAAAGAGCAACAATTTAAATGTTGCATTTTTAATACATTCAATTATTAATTCCAAGTATTTTTCAATTTCAAAGGTGACATTTGTTGACATTTATATAGTTTTTAATTAGGGCTGTCAGTAGATGAAAATTTTTAATCTTATTAATTACATGATGTGTCGATTAATTCATCTAATTAATCGCAAATTTAATTTGGCTGTAAAATTACCCACAAAAGATCATTTAAAGCTATTATTGTGTTAAATGAGAAAGTATCAAGTAGACATTACAAATAGTAGCTTCAGAAAGAAATATTTTATTTGATTCAACATAAAATGTATTACACAAACATTTAGGCTACGGACTAACAAACTATGGAACATAAAAAAAGACAGGAAGTCACTCGTAACCAAATCAGCTTTGTTACCAACAGTCTTCAAAATAACTTATTTTATGTTGTGCAAAAGAAAGAAAATCATACAGGTTTGAAATGACATGAGGGTGAGTAAATGATGACGCACTTATTTCACTCCTCCCCTCACTGCAGCCGCCTACTCTCGCCTACTCTCGCCTACATTTCAGGCGAGGCGCATCTCAAACAAGCCTATTCATTCGATTCGTTCAAACGGCTGATTCATTCAGGAATGAAGTAAAGGGCTGTGTTTATGAATGGGCTTTTGAATCATTGGTTCACCGATTCGTTCAAAACGTGGATTCATTCAGATACTAAACACCGCTGTGTTGCTTGCAGTTATGGATTTAAAAGTAATATATTCTTTGCAAAATTGATATATTTTGTTTAAAATATAACACAATATTAACTTCTTATTTACTGAACTGTTGTATGAAATAACATTCAAACTCGTGATATTCGGGACAAAAACTTCACTTGTGTCATATTGTTCTCGCTGCTCGTGTAATATCGCTTAATCATGTGATATAAAAATGAGACAAAAACTCATAGTGACATTTTTTGCCCCAATATCTTGAATTTTAGGGCATAACTGCATTTATGGAGTCGTTGCCCTGCATCATATTTGTCAACAGTCAACTGTATGAAATGTAAGATGACAAACAGGTCTGGGGGCGGGGCCAGTGCGTTAACGGCGTTAAAATATTTTAAATCGCGCTATTTTTCATAACTAATTAAGTTAACACATTACACTGACAGCCCTATTTTTAATTAATATACTGATAAATAATTAATTGTATTTTTTTACAGCACTAGTCTTATTAGTATTAATTTATTAACTATTATTCATATTCAGAATGTCTGCATTTGTCTGGTAAGTTTGGTTTATGGGTACATACGTGTGACCCAGATGTGGTCCAGTTCAGAGGATTTCTCTGTGATTTTGGTGCTGAATGAGCACAGAGCCAGCTGGAGCTTCTTCCTGTGTAGCAGATGTTTAATTCCCAGCTCCTACATGTGAAAAAAAAATACAAAATTTAGAAATCAAGATGGTTGCAACAGCATATTGGTTCTTTAGTAATTTATCAATGTCATGAAATGAAAACAAATATTTCAGTTCAATTAAAGAAGCATAAAGCCTCACGTAAATGCTATAACCGTTCGGATTCATTGAAAACCAAATCCGAACACGTAATTGAGTGGGTTTGGTAGAACAAATTAGTAAGTCGTACAGCATTACTGATGCGGAACAGAGGTTAAAGCCGCC